AACTGTTTTAAAGAGTTGAAATCGAGTGCACGCCAGCAGCGCAGTTGTATCTGGAAGGCGCTCTCCGTTGGAATTACAGCTTCTTAAGCTGCCACCTTGGCTCTCTACTTAGGACCAATACATATTATTCACATTTTCAATTCCATAAAAAATCAAATGTGAAAAACTACCTGAAGAAATATATGCAGGACAGCTTGGATAACTGGGCTGCTGATTTCAGCAGTCTATTGAAAGGAGCAGTTAATGCTTCAATATTTTTTTCTCCTTTTTAGTTTCTTATACTTTTTCTTACCAATTTTGCATGCTTATATCTGGTAATCTAGACAATTAATTTGAACACAACAGTATGCAATATAACAACCATTGCTGAATTCAAAAAAAAACCCACAAAGAATTGTTCCCCAATGGAGAAAACCTAATGGGAAGGATGTGACATAGAAAAGACACTTTGTACCTGTCCACAGGTATAAAAGGAAAGATCTAGACGGGAGAGGTTCCTTGGCCCACCCCACTATATGGAAACTCTTGCACTGAACAAAAAAAAAAAAAAAAAAAAAAAATCACGCAGCAGTAGCAATGACCAAATTAATTTATTTGTTTTTTTTTTAATTGAGAAATAAATATGAATGAGACAGTTTCACAGCTGATTAATAGGACAGTTTTGATAGTCAATACACTGTACACTGTTATCTTCTTAGTGGTTATCCATAGTACAAGAAGCAGACAGGATATTCTGTCCAAACACTGTTAGTACACCTCTTTCTTCTCATTGAGTTAAGCGAAAGTAGCTGTAAATTTATCCTAACTATTTTGTATATATAAATACAAAATGATCATTCCTTTGTATCATCTTTTTTATTGTCTGTCAGAGGTGAATATTCTATTTGCATCTAAATACTATGGGTGTTTGAATTCAACTAAACAATCTAACACTGTCTAGCTGTCTATAATATGAGTGGGTTATCCTCAGAAGTTATTGACTTGAGCCTTTTAGAGCTCATCATATTAATATGGCTTTACTTTATATACCTCGTTTTTATACTTTTCTGCTGGATGGTTAAGACCAAGATATAGCAAGACCTATATAACAAGAAATGTAACTTTTGTGTCTGATAAGGTCAGCCAAGTACTCTCAGAATTTATCCTGCAGCCCTGTACCGCCCTTTGTACATCCTTTTGTCAGTGTCAGATGACACTGTGGATGAGTCACGGCCATTGCTTGACCAATTTGCTCTCTGTGAAAGCCTGAGAAAATACGTTTTCTCTCCATGTGACTCTCCCCAGGCACACTATACATCATCAAACACATTCCTCTCAAATTAATTTATTTGGTACTTACAGGACATGGAAAAGTTGTGCCTGAAGGTCATAGTTCTGGAAAAGACTCTTAAGTAAGGGCTCCCCAGAACAGATGAATAATTTCAAGTCTCCTTGCATCCAGCACTGTAGGTTCCAGTCCACACCTGAATTAAAAATAAACTCCATTACATCTGAAAACCGCTTCGAACAACTCAGTGAATGAGGAAGGCTAAAGCCACCAAGCCCGCGTCCGCCTCCCGCCGCCCCCTCTGAGAGAGACAACCAGCCCAACAGGTGGCATGCTGCTTGCCCAGACACTGTCTCTTGGAAAGCCCTCAGCTTTCTTATTGTAAAGGAAGAGAATTAGATCCACCCGTCTTTTCTGCAGTCCCTCTATAATCTCGTGCCTTCAAGGGGAACCAAACAGCTCAAAATCCACCAGCTTGGCTCATTCGCACTTTTCAAGAGCAAGAAGAACATCAAACGTCAAGGGACAAGCAAATCCAGAGTGGCATTCTGCATCCACAGCAGCCGTTCAAGGCGCTGGGACATCTCCAATCGCTGTACCTGTAACATCAGAAGCCCCAAATACAACTGAGGACAGGGCGCTTCACCCCGCGCTGCAGTGCTCCCCTGAGCACGCGAGGGACAGCCAGGGAATCTGTGACTTGTAAGGCAGAAAGAGTAACAGCTGCAAACCCTGCCTGAAACAGGAGTAACTGCAGGCAGCTACTGCCCTGACCAGGTGGGTACCCAGCCACTAGGGAATTCCGACCCTGGGAGCCTGCAGGAAATGGCCTACTTTGAAGAATAATCCACAGAGAACTTCAGGGGACCATTGTATAACCTAGTGATTTTGAACTCCACTCAGAAAAAAAAAAAAAAATTATCATCTCCAATTTATACTATAAAGTTAAAATAGTACAACAGTCATTGCCTTCATAAATGAAAAAAGATGCTAAGATAGTTTGCCATTAAGAATTTTTTCTCTACGCAGGCCATGGTGCTATGCATCAGGTACCTCTATTCCCATTCAGCCTTCTGTCTCGAGATAAGCATCTTTTAAAAGACAACAGGGGTGGAGCCGGGGAGATAGCTCAGCAGAATATAGCACTTGCCTGGCAAGCACAAAGTCCTGAGTTCAATCCCCGGTTCTGCCAAAAAAAAAAAAAAAGAAAGAAAAATAAAAATAAAAGACAACGGGTGCACCTTGGTGCAGTACAGCAGCTATGCACTGCGTTGGATCCCTTGTTCCCCACCCTGCCCTCTCCCTTTTTGCTCAGGATCTCTTCCCCACACCCAAGACATCGACTCCCTCTTTCCTAGAAAAACATGGAACGCTTCACAAATTTACATGTCATCCTTGCACAGGGCCACCTAATCTTCTCTGAATTGTTCCAATTTCAGTATATGTGCTGCCCAAGCGAGCACGGCTAACTTAAATTTTGTTACTAATGTTTCTCACCAAAACACCCTACGAGGCTGGAGCTGAAGGATCACAAGTTCAAGCCCAGCCTGGGCAACTTACTGAGAGCCCCATCTCAGAATAAAAAAAAATTTTAAAGGACTGGGAATATAGCTCAGAGAAAAGACCCTGGATTCAATCCCACATCAAGATGAAAAGATGCTCCCTTGAAATGAAATGAAAGGCTAAGAGCTGAGTAGAGACAGAGCAAGTTATTTCTTTAAAGTTGTTTTTCAGTTCTTGATTTTACTGCATAGCTGTTTTCCCTTTATTCCTAAACTGGTTTCCACATACTGGAGTGTTTCTTCCACCTAACCAATGGCACGGAAGCCAGGATGATTGTTGTCCATCAGAGGACACCGGGAGCACCTGAAGTTCTTCATGACTGCTACAGTTATGGAGGGGACACGACTGCCCTCTGGCATTTAGCGTCCAGGACTGCTGTGAAGTATCCCACGATGCCCAGGGCTGCTCCCCGAAGCCAGGGGTAACCTGGACCAAATCCACAAGGATGTCCACTGGGGACTCAGACTCCTTCGTGGTTGAAGCTACATTTCCCCTGGCCTGTGCTTCCAGATCAGGTAATAAAGTCAGTCAGCTCTGCCCTATTTAACTTTTCCAGAAGACGTAGAAATAATTTTGTTATTTATATTTTCAGGTGCAGAATTATTATTCATTATACATTTTTATTATTTTTGTTTTTAGGGAAGGGTCTACAAGGTGCTCAGGGTCTCACTACTAGATCAGACTGGTAGTGATCCGCCTGTTTACAGCTTCCCAATCATTATACTTTAAACATAAAAAAAATAGGAGAGACCTACTTTTAAGGGCACCAGACCTGCCCTTAAGGCAGCCTGAACTAGACCAAAAAAAAAAAAAGTTCCCTTGATTTAAAATGTATACTGTTTTAGAGGAGTC